TGAGCCCCGCGTCGGGCTCTGGGCTGATGGCTCAGAGCCTGGAGCCTGTTTCCGATTCTGTGTCTCCCTCTCTCTCTGCCCCTCCCCCGTTCATGCTCTGTCTCTCTCTGTCCCAAAAATAAATAAACGTTGAAAAAAAAATTAAAAAAAAAAAATTGTGGTTTATATATACAATGGAATACTATATGGCAATGAGAGAGAATGAAATATGTCCTTTTGTAGCAACGTGGATGGAACTGGAGGGTGTTATGCTAAGTGAAATAAGTCATACAGAGAAAGACAGATACCATATGGTATCAGTCTTAGGTAGATCCTGAAAACTTAACAGAAGACTATGGGGGAGGGGAAGGAAAAAAAAAAACTTAGGCAAACCATAAGAGACTCTTAAAAAAGAATAAACTGAGGGTTGATGGGGGGTGGTAGGGAAGGGGAAGTGGATGATAGGCATTGAGGAGGGCAACTGTTGGGATGAGCACTGGGTGTTGTATTGAAACCAATTTGACAATAAATTTCATTAAAAATAAATAAAGGCAAAGATAATTCTATCAAAAAAATTCTATCTCTTCTTTCAAAGAGTGGAAAGTAAGGGGTGCTGTGTATGAAGTCATTTCCTTTGAGAAGCTCCCTTAGCTAAGATAAGATGACGGAAGATGGGAGGTTGAGGAGGGCGAAGAGTGTTGATGTTGGCTACATTTTTAATGTGCCAGAAGCGTGCATGTGTTCTTGGACCATGAGGAAAGAATCACTGGAGAGAGAAAGGCTGACTGTAACTGATGAATCAAAGCCCACGGCCTCCTTAGGAGGCAGACAAGTCAAAATGGATTAACTGAAAATGGATTAAAGCCTTGAACATAAGACTTAAAACTAGAAAGCTCCTAGAAGGAAACATAGGTGGTAAACTCCTTGACATAGGTCTTGGCAATAATTTTATGAATCTGACACCAAAAACAAAAGCCACAAAAGCAAAAGTAAACAAGTGGGACAGCATCTAACTAAAAAGTTTCTGCACAACAGAGAAAACCATCAATAAAATGAAAAGGCAGGCTATTAAACGGGAGAAAATACTTGCAAATTACATGTATGATAAGGGCTAACGTGCAAAATATATAAAGAACTCCTAAACACAATAACAAAAAAAAAAAAATCTGATTTTAAAACGTGCAGAGGATCTGAACACTTTTCCAAAGAAGACATACAGATGGCCAACAGGTACATAAAAAGATGCTCAACATCACTAATTATCAGGGAAATGCAAATCAAAACCACAAGATATCACCTCACACCCATTAGAATGGCTATTATCAAAAAGGCAAGTAAGAAGTGGTGGGAATGTAAACTGGTACAGCCATTATGGAAAACAGAATAGAGGTTCCTCAAAAAATTAAAAAAAGAACCACCAGGTGATCCAGCAATTCTACTTCTGGGTATTTATCCAAAAAAAAAAAAAAAATGAAAACACTAAGTTGAAAAGATGTATGCACCCCAGGTTCTTTGCAACTTCATTTACAATATCCAAGATATGGAAACAACCTAAGTGTCCATCCATGGATGAATGAATAGATGTGGTATATACACACAATGCAGTATTATTCAAGCATAAAAAAGTGAAATTTTGCCATTTTCAATAACATAAATGGACCTCAAGGGTATTATGCTAAGTAAAATAGGTCAGACAGAGAAAGACAAATACTGTGGGATCTCTCTTATATGTGATATCTAAAAGCAACAACAACAACAAGACAAAACACCAAGCTCACAGAGACAGAGAACAGATTGATGGTTGCCAGAGGTGGGGGTTAGAGGAGGAAGAAATGGGTGAAAGATAAAAAGAAAAAAAAATGAGGGAGGGGAGTATATATAGAATAAGCTTGCCAATTGCCTTATTGGTATTAAAAAACAAAAGTCAAAGGTCTAGTTAAGTGGAATACCTGAAGTGACAGATTCCCAGTACATATTATGAACTTGCTTTTTACGTTTTATAACTTTCCTTGGCAACCAGCATGGGCAATACCTGCCTTTTTATAGGCAACTGTCATTAGGTTTGAATATCAAATCTAACAAAGAAAACTTCTTTCTAAAAGCAGAGCATAAGCCAAAGGTAACATGCACTGGTGACCTGCAATATTTAAGTGAAGATGTTCTAGAAATAGTGATACTTTACCAACAGTGGAACATTTAATACAAACAGTGGATGTCAATTGAGGACAGCCTGGCTTACTCACTTTAAGTCGCTTCTGTTTTGCGATGTATGCCTCTTGTAAATCCGGGTTTTCTTCAGCAAGTTTTTTCAGTTCAGATTCTGTGTTACCAATTTGGCCTGAGAACAAAATCATTTTTGAAATAGTAAGTTATTTCCTCCCTTCTACACAAGAAACAAGGAGAAACTGGGAAACTCCATGATAAGAATACGAGCTCTGGGATTCACCCCCTCCCTCTGCCATGGCCTTACCCTCTCTGTGCCTCAGTTTTCTCAAATGCAAGAAAATGCTTCAGTTTTAATTTCAGTTTTCTCAAATGCTTCTCAGAGCATCTGCTGCATAGGTTAAGGATTAAATGTGAGACACCCAGGAAAGCACTCAGAGCAAGGCCAGCACATTAGAAGTGCTCAGTGCACGGGGCGCCTGGGTGGCGCAGTCGGTTAAGCGTCCGACTTCAGCCAGGTCACGATCTCGCGGTCCGGGAGTTCGAGCCCCGCATCAGGCTCTGGGCTGATGGCTCAGAGCCTGGAGCCTGTTTCCGATTCTGTGTCTCCCTCTCTCTCTGCCCCTCCCCCGTTCATGCTCTGTCTCTCTCTGTCCCAAAAATAAATAAACGTTGAAAAAAAAAAAATAAAAAAAAAAAAAGAAGTGCTCAGTAGTTGTTCTATCTTTCAATACCTTTCAAGTTTTCTATAATGGATTTCTATATGAAGGGAAGGCAAAAGACTCATTTGAAAAAATATTAACTCTAAATGATGGAATTATAGTCAGAACACTTGCTTCAAATCATATAATGAGTATTTATGTAGGGAAGGAGGAGGAACAAGACGTAAAGTGGGAAGAGGAAAAGGAGGACGGGGAAAGAAGAGGAGAAAAAGGTGGAAAAGTACAAAACGAAAGAAAAGTAACATTAAAAGAATTATAAAGGTGAGATATGATGTAATGGAAAGAATGTAGTTTCTGGAATTAGAAGATCTGCATTTGAGTGTTTCTAGTCAAACATCCCCAGAGTCCGACCACAGCCACCTTCCCTTACTTTCCTATCCCAGTCACATGTGCCATAGAGCACATCTCCTTCTCCACATCCCATGCACTGACCATACTCTGTCCTCAGAAAAGGAGAGAGCTGGTTATCACAACTCAAATCAATCCCAAATCATTGAATTTAGAGGTAGAATAATGGTTACACAGCCTGCAGTCTGGCTCCCTCGCGTAATGAAACAAGAATTAAGGACAAGAAATGTGAACTCAGTTCCACTTAATCCCCAGCAGTTTCCAGATTTCATGATTCTTAGTCCACATGTCTGTTAGAACATGTTATGTTCTTTTCTTTTCCACAGGCCTCTTTTCTGAGTTTTATCCAAACGTGGCCCTCAAGACTAGGAGCTGGAAAATCAGCTCCTATAGATAATAAAAGTCCAACTGAACAGCTGAAGCACATATTAATCTAGTGCATGGATCAATCTGTAACATGAGCATCCATGCAACAAACTCAACAACCCTGTGCCCAGGTCTTCATGAGATGTGCCAGGTCTCAAAAATGAATTAAAAGAAACTTGAGACAGAATTCCAAGTCTTTAAGATCATTACATACTGCGAATCCTTGTGGTTGCATAAGCTGGGATCATGGAGTCGACAGTTAGCTCAGGATGTAAAATGCAGCCATGTGTATAGGCATCCATTGGCAATGAGTCAAGAAGTTCTCGATAATGTTGTACCCGTGGATAATACATGCTTCCTTTATCAGGCATTAACCTGGGTGTTTTTTCTAAAAACATATATACAAACATTGAAGAAAAAGTTACAAATGAGATGTTACATCCAAAAGCAAAATCAAAAACCCAAATCTCCTCATCAATGTTTTCAATATTATATCAAGGCATTTAAAAGATGGTATCTCCCCCGCCCAGATATTCAAAATTTGAAATGGGCAGATGTACGAGGCTAGATCCCAAACGATGATCACACTGCAGTTCTCTCACTTCTCTACCTTACAAATTGCTACTCAACCCTCAAGGTCCAGTTATTTATGCCAACTCCTCTGTGGAACATTCCCTAACATCCTACAACCACCAATATCTGATTGGGTCAAATGTACCTCCTCGGTACATGCAAAATACCTTGTACGTATACCTTCATAGCCTTATCACCTTAATTAGTTGTTTGTATCTTTTTGACCCATGAGCTTCTTCAGGGCAGGGAGCCTATGACCTAGGGTCTACCACAGTGTCCATTATACTTTAGGCCATTGATAGAGGTTGGTTAGGTGAATGAAAGACCATTATGGAAAGATAAACAAGGACCACTCTTTCTGAGGTTCCAATTAATACCAAGAGTGGCCCTGCTGATGCTAGGTGAATGTGAATTGACAATCTTCACAGAATTCACCATGAATTTCTAGTATTTTATCTCTAGAAAGTGGGTTCTGCATGAATCCTCATGTGCTGGTTAAACTCTAGACTACTTGAAGGCAGGGACCATGTACTGTTCTCTGTTGAGTTCCCAGTGGCTAATATAATGTTTGGCTCATAGTAGATGTTCAGTAAGTTTCAACTAATGAACATATTCCCAAATTTCTAGTTGCTATAGAATGTTTGAGCTGGAGAAGCTCTGCAGCAGTTAACAAAGACACTGAGACATAGAGGCTGAGGCATTCTCCCCAAGATCCCACAGCTAATTAAAGGCAGAACAACAACTAAAGTCAGTAAGTCCTAATGCAGTGCTCTGTCTTATAACATCATTGTAACATCTCTAAAGGGTTCACAATTCACAGATTATCTAAAAAGAATAAATATGAACCAAATGATTCAAAGATCAGGGCTATGTCCCTTCAGAATCACTTCTTACTTTTGACCCTGAAACAGGCCCTGAAAAATGCCAACAAGCTCATTCCAACAAGTAAAAAGAACAGCCTCAATTTTATTAATTTATTTCTTAGTTTGGGTTATTTAATTTAGAATCCTTTTGAGCACCCCACACTCATTTATAAGTGTTGACAATTCAGAGTTGGTTGCAGAGCATTTCAGACAAGATCTCATAATGCCATAATCCAAGTGGAACAAGTTTTTTAAGCCAACAGACTATTTCTGACTCTCTAAGAAAAAATAAGATGGATTACTCCTCAAACCAGCAGACAAATATCTAATTCCCTGCTGGGAAGTCCAACTCTGAAATCTACATTGGAATAACTGACAATGAAGTGTCAGCCACATACTGCTTGTCAACAGTGAATTTACCCAACTAGAGCACACTTCCTTGGTGATCTTTGAGAATTTCAGTTTATCACTAAGATCCCAACCAATGCATGGTAGAAATTTCCATGAGGACAACAGACTGGAGTCCTTCTCAGGCCCTTGAAATACTAAAGAGTTCTTAACCTAATGTCCTTAAGTGCATACAAGACATAGGATTGCAAAGGAAATTGATTATATTGAAATATATTTATCAAATTATTTTTAAATTATAAAACATTAGTATGGGTGCCTTTTTTAACACATTAACAATATCTAGAAGCAGGTCTAATAACTACCATAATTTCAAAGTAATTATGAGCATAAGTTATTTTTAAGATATCTACAATAACTTGATATGCTATGAACATACCTGTGATTTCTATTGGTAACAAAGTCACAGGCACTCCTGATCAATTGCTGTGATTTATCCCTACACTAGAAATGAAAGGAAGTAATGTTTCTGTTGGAAATTAGTGAAAATAAAGATATAATAATTTTTCTCCTCTAGGATCTCAAATCTCCTGAATGCTATTCATAGACCACTAAGGGCAACAGTTCTCAAAGCGTGGTCTAAGAATCCCTGAGCTTCCCCAAGACACTCTCAGGGGGTCCACAAAGTCAAAGCTACTTTCATAGTAATACTACAATGTTAATTGGTTTTCACTCCTATTCTCTCTCAAGGATACACCAGAGTTTTCCAGAGGCTACAGGACATGTGATGGCTCCATCACTCTGACAGTTAATGAGGTGTGGGATTATTTGCGTGTTTCAAATTTTTCTCAGTTTTAATTTCTAATTTGGTAAATGTTGATAGATACAGCCCACAGAAACTAAAGCTCTCCAGTGTTCTCCATAACGTTTATGATAAAGGGGCCTGGAAACCAAACAGTTTAAGAACCACTGCTCTGAGGGTCCAAAAACCTCAAGTTAATAACCAAAAATGGTACAGTATTTTAAAATGCTTACAAGTGGTTAAATTTATGGCCAGTGGCTCAGGCTACTTTCTGGTGCCAGGCCTGGGGCATGTCTTCAGAAGAGCATACCACTTCCTTCTGGGAAAGTGAATAAAAGCAGGAAAAACACTGTCTAGTAATTGCTTTCTGGGGAAGTTCCATCTGCCTATGCCTGAGTTCTCAAAGGAATATAAATGTTTAAATCCATGAAAATAAGTTTCTTCTACTCAAGGCACCATTACAATACAACTATCTCCTCTAACACTTTGTCAGACAGACCATAAAATATCCACTGAACCAAAGCTCTCATCCAGCCTCAGGGTCTCTCTTCCAGGACCTCCAGAGCAACACCTGCCATGTGTTGTCATTGTCCTCCTCAACACCAAAGCACAATAGTGTCCACTGCCTCTGGAAACAGTTTTTCAAAAAGCAATTGGGAATTTCCTTTTAATTATACAGATCTTCCCTCTCTCATTCTATTTTATTTTTCAATCCTTCCATAAAGCATTTGTGTTAGAACACTAAAAGGAGAAGGAGAAGAAGAAGAAAAGGGATCACCTGGCTAGCTTAGAGCTATGCAACTCTTGATCTTGGGGTCATGAGATTGAGGCCCACGTTGGGTGTAGGGAATGAATGAATGAATGAATGAATGAATGAATAAATAAATAAATAAATAAATAAATAAATAAATAAAAACTGTTCTTGCTATTCTACCTCAGTCAGGAACGAAAAAGCAAAAGCAATAGAAGGCCTAAAGGGGCAGGGCAAGGAATCAGGGGACCTTTAAGAAGCAGGCATTGAAAAGAGTTTCCAGCATTAGGGAATAGGTTTGCTGTACTGGAAACCAGGATTAGTGACTAAGCTGGAAGAAAAAATAAGAATAAATGAATAAATTGGCAGAAGACCTGACTTCCTAGAAGAACTGAGTAGGGGACAAAGGCAGGTCTTGTATTGCACCAAAATTTTGGCAGCAAATTAGAAACAGACGGGTAGACACAAAGCAGAAATATGAGATAACGAGAGAAAAACATAGTTTTTTAAAACCAGAAAGAGGCGCGCCTGGGTGGCGCAGTCGGTTAAGCGTCCGACTTCAGCCAGGTCACGATCTCGCGGTCCTGTGAGTTCGAGCCCCGCGTCGGGCTCTGGGCTGATGGCTCGGAGCCTGGAACCTGTTTCCGATTCTGTGTCTCCCTCTCTCTCTGCCCCACCCCCATTCATGCTCTGTCTCTCTGTGTCCCAAAAATAAATAAAAACGTTGAAAAAAAATTTTAAAAAATAAAAAATAAAACCAGAAAGAAAAGACACAATGCAAGTGTTCTGCAGCTATTTAACAGGGACAAACAGTTCCCCACATTCTCAAGTCCCTATACTGCCTTGTAGAATAACCATGGCCTTGAGCCATTAAAAAAAAATTACATTGTTTATATTACATTACACTGTTTACCCAAGAGCAAAAATTTAAAAGAATTTAGGGTCTTACAGGCTAAGCTTCCATTATTTTACTACATTGACTACTCTGATTTCCTACGTTCCCCAGTGATGGCAGACAAAGAAGGCATAATTATGTCTTGTTTTCAAGAAAGACTTCCCCCTAGGTCTATTTGAATAATTTTCAGTTCTTACTATTAGTAGTTCAATGAAAACAGACCTCATTTCTATCTTTACCCCTTTGCTGATTTTTTAATTTTACTTATTAGATCACTTTGTGATGACATCGATATATAAGAAGGTGTGCATCATGTAGCAGAAAAAAACTGTACCCTTCAACTAGTCAAACACCAGGCTATTAAAAAAATATAATAATGTAAATAAGTTATAACCTGAGGCAAAAGTTATGGTTACAAACTGACTACAATTCAAAGCTGTTACAACTTTGGAATGAGAACAATCAAATCTAAACACAGATGAGGAAAAAACACATAATGTCAAATTATAGAAGTTCACTATATGCAGTCATGATCTGCTGAGACAGAGACAAATTTATACCATCATTTTCAATAAGCTTTATACCTTAAATGTTTAACTTCTCTTTATTGGTATTTAAGGCTTTTAACAGAAACATTTGTAATTGGGAGCAAAACTCCTTTATCAGACAGTTTGTTCCAATTATTGTTTGCACATAATATAGAACTAGAGTCTCTGCATTTTGACACCCCTACCTGTCCACTGAAATTGGACAAATCAAAGAGGGGAGAAAAAGTTAATTTTTAAAGCCACTTTCATTGGCACAATCATGAGTTTTAAAAGGTTCGTTTTCTTTTCCTTACCACATATATTTTCTCCACACTTGGTTAGAACCTTTGTGCTACTCTACAATTTCAGTAGATGTGCTAAAATACATATAAAGTAATTCAACTATTTATGAGAGGCTTTTATTAATATACAAAAATATTGTATAATTGGAATAATTGGAAACCCTTACATAAATAACTTTTTAATGTAACAGTGACTTCAGAATTAATGTTCTTTTTTTTTTTTTAATTTTTTTTTTCAAACGTTTATTTATTTTTGGGACCGAGAGAGACAGAGCATGAACGGGGGAGGGGCAGAGAGAGAGGGAGACACAGAATCGGAAACAGGCT